CCACAACCAGTCTTAGTACAAATGGGGGTAAAACCACGAACCCAAATATTACGTCAGGAGCGAACAGCCCATTAATTCTTTAATAACCACGGCGACCAGCGACCATGGACACACGAAAAAGTTATTATGAAAACTTTGTCGCGACCCGGATGCAAGTTTGTGTTTATTTGTCAATAAACCGCACGTTATAAATACAAGAAGCTGCCTATAAGGTGTGTGTCATGAAATTTAATGATGAGAACATCGTACTATTTTATACATCGACCACCAAATACAGTAAGGGAAAGCATGGTTGCTGAAACCTTCTTCTGTTGAATACTTCAAATGGCAAAACACCAATGCGCTCGCCCCTTGGTAGTTAACCATCTGCTATGGTTATTACCTACCACCATATACGTGTGTACGTATCGCAAAATATAGCATATAATAAAAACTCAAATTGCTTGCAACTGACGGTCACGGTGGGTAAACTCGGGTGTGTTTTTGCGTTGCAGGATGTTTTAGAATGTGGTCAATTTTTCACATCGGAGAGTACACTCTTATTTACATAAATGTCCGTCAAGAGATCTCTTTGATAGCAATGTACCATCAATAAAGAAATAAATTAATACTAAAACACCTTCTCAATTCGAAGTGTGCACTACACCGCTTTATTTAATTCCCATATGGTATAATTAAGTTCCCACAGTCTCCACAGGAGGGGGTGGGGAAACTCATCAAGCTTGCACAAAGATGGAATAATTAATGTCATCTACCCCCAGGAACAATCAGGATGAGACGACAAAAAAAAAAAGTTCACCGTTACAGTAAGATTCGATCGGCCTACAGTTCGCGCCAAATCGACGCCTGGGCCCGGATTCTCAAAGGAGCCACGAGTTAAGGCGCGCTGGAGGCCTTAACCGTCCTGCTGTATTTCCCTTATACAAGAGCGAAGAGAGTTGATTTCTGTCCGCCGTAAAGCGTTGAAGGCTGCTCTCTCCCTGCCTCAACCTAAGGCGTCTTAACTCGCACCAATATGGCGGGTCCCTTGCTCTGTGTATGTGTATGTAAGATCGCTCGGCCGTAAGTTAAGGCGCCTTAAGGAGATACGGCGCCTTAACGCGTTTGAGAATCTGGCCCCTGTACCGTACCATAAATTCGAAACAGCAGCCTTGTACACTCCAGTCACGGTCAAAACTCTTGTCAAACCTATTTCGAATTCTTCGTTCACATATGTAAGCCCTCCTCATGTTGGCAATCAGCTCTAGCACTTTATGAACCTATTCATTTGTAAAATCATTTGGTTCTTGGTTACGGTATATCAAGGTCTTCTTCCCTATCTGCTGTTCCCGCATTTCGAATTACGTTTCGAACATCCGACTATAGCACACTTTTCGTATAGGGCAAGATAGATTCGAAGCTTCAGTTCATTATGTGACTTTTGTTCGGCACTGTACACGAACGAACTGCGCAATCCATAAGCAACGTACGCATGAATAACGTTAACCATTTATTTTTAAACATACGCAGACCAACATCGAGTACACACGAGTAGTGACCTTTCGGGATCAGAGAAAAGTCGCCAACGAAAAGTTAATTTACAAAGGTTAGGTGTTATAACGATGCGCCGTCGGGCTTTAGTTAACGTGGGAAATGTTTATAATGCACTAACGAAGAAACTGTATTCAACACTTTATTGTGATTGCAATGGGATAGCAGTATCATAAATGATCATGATCATTATCATAATAATAATAATAATACTAATATAATAATAATAACATATCTCATAACAATATCATCAATGACGATGATGTTGATAATGACGACGATAAATCATGATATCATCATCAATCATCATCAATCATCCTAATAGCGAAAAATAACAAAAACGACAACAATAATAATTAATATATTAATCATAATTACCATTACTATTATCATTATCACTATAAAGAATAAAAGTAAAAAAATCCCTTGAAGCCACCGTTTCGACCATAAAGAGAAAGGAAGCAAGCATCACACCCAGGTAATCGGCGACAAGAAAAACCGTCGCCAGCTCTCGTGAAGCTCGTAAACACACACACACATACACACACACACACACACACACACACACACACACACACACACACACACACACACACACACACACACACACACACACACACACACACACAACACACCAGACAGAGAGAAAGAAGAGAAGAGATAAAGAACCACGTCGCTGCAGAGCTAAATCGAGAGCGAACAACCACCGTACACCTATTCATTGTAGGCCTATTTCCCCATGACTGCTTCGATCAACAACCTAAAAACACCCGTAGTCCAATGTCCGCCTACCGTGAATGTTGCAATTAGAAACTGTAACTTAGGCGTGAAGGGCTCTGCAACAGTTGGCTGGTGTTGACAATATTTTACTGCCAGCAGGTGTGTGCTGGCATATATGTATGTGTGTATGTGTACGTGTGTATGTGTATGTATGTATATGTATCAATACTGAAGAAGAGCTAAGCTGAGAGGGTTCCGTCTGCTGGATCTAAATTACCATTTTTTGGCGTTATTTGAGGGATAGTCTGGAAAGCTCATCCTCTTTATACGTTCAACTTTTTACTGCCTTCTTTTTCGTCTGTTCAAAATGCTAATATTCTTGATCTACCTTCATTCTTTCTGTAACATAATTGAACAGCATGATCGCGTCGCCCATTTTTTTTTTTTTTTTTTTTTTATCCAAAGTAGTCCTATTTTCTGTAGTCTCCGTAGTTCATCTCTCTCCGAGTTGTGGCTCCTCGTTAAACGCTTTCCAGTTTGTTTACATCCCTTTTAAGTTTGGATTGCACATTACTGCACCGTGCTATACACTAAGTATTTGTTGGGTTGTAATGATCTTTACGATACCTTCATTCACATATATGAAAGCCCCTCTTCATGTTGGCAATCAACCTTAGCACTTTACGACCTCATTTTTTATAATTTGGTTCTTAGTTATGATTATTTTCAAGGTCTTTTCCCTGCATCCTGTTTAATACCGAGTTCCCGAGCTTGTACTGGTATAGGGGTCAATCTTTGCTTTCTCTGAACCTGACTACATGACGTTCAATTCCATTTATCAAGAACAAATCCACAGGAATAAGTTCTCGGCGTCCCTGTTAGAGGTACTGGTATGAAACGTAGTGCATTATCCTTTTTTCGCGTCGTCTACAAACATATTTAAATAGCTCCCTGGCCTTATGTTTGATCCGAGACAGCTGATGCAAATAGAAAACATAATCGGCGCCAAGACCGATCCATGAGGTACTCCGCTACTTACTGGTCTCCATGTAGAGTGCTTCCCTCTAATTACAATGTTCACTGGTCTTTCATGTTGGGATTCTCTCATCCATTTGGAGAGTCTGCCTTTCACTCCACCTAGGTGTTCGAATTTCATAATGGTCTTTATGTGTGACATTTTATCAAATACTTTCTAACGTCTAAGTATACACAGTACACCCAGCCGTCTCTTGTAATATTTTAGAAACTATCATAAACACAGAAGAGATTTGCTACATATGACCTATCACACACACACACACACATGTGTGTGTGTGTGTATGTGTGTGTGTGTGTGTGTGTGTGTGTGTGTGTGTGTGTGTGTGTGTGTGTGTGTGTGTGTGTGTGTGTGTGTGTGTGTGTGTGTGTGTGCAAAAAATAAACAAATGATATATATATAGATGTACAGTACCCACACACATATATAAATATACATATACACATATATATGTACATATACATACAAATACATCTTTAATAATCCATCTACCCAACAATATGAGAAGGCCAGCCCCCCACACCCCCCCCCTTCCTCGGCCCTCCTCGCGAGAGCGCCGACGACCCCGCGCGAGAGACCGCGCGAGCGACCGAGTCCAACCGCCGCTTTACATAACGTCCGACGCACCATCCTTGGGCGAGAACCCCCGCGCGCCGCCTCCTCCACGCGATTCTCGTCCTCGGCTCCGATTAATCCCCGGCCAAGGAGAGCAAAATCCGGACGCGTGATGGGGAAGACACGGCGATGCGGCACGTTGCAGTTCACGTGCTTTGGCGACTCTTTTTTCACGTAATTTTTTTTGCGATTTCACAACATTTTTTAGGTGATTACACAACTTTATAACTCTTTTCGCTATTTTTAACGAGATTTCGCAACATTTTACGGGTTTTCGCTTCTTTTAAACGAGATTTCGCAACATTTTACGGGATTTCGCCATTCTTTAACGAGATTTCGCAACATCGTATGGGATTTTGCTACTTTTTTTCCTGAATTTCCCACCTTTTTTACGGGATTTCGCTACTTTTCTTGAAGAGATTTCGCAAAATCTCCTGGATTTATCTTAAAGAATGGCAGGCGGGTATCCTATTCCTCCCCTCCCCCCCCCCTTCTACCTCCATAGATTTTGGAATAGCATGACCGTGTCTCACTCCAACTGAGGTACGATAATCATCAAAATTTATTTATTTTTTCTCTCCCTTCTTACGGGAAACCTTGTCGATCTGCAACATCCTCTTTTTTCAACATGAACAAGGAAGATGCAACATCACCGTGATAGTCGCCCCCCGATTTCAAAAGAGCAAGGCCGGTATACGAATCGAAACCCGTAATGCTTAAAAAAAGGATCATTGCTCAGCAGACTTCGGTAGAAAAAAACAAAAATCGTAAAACTGCCGAAACTACCGAGTCCTGCGCCCTTTAAAATCCCTCAAAAAGAAATGTCCTGGCATTAATAACAAATAAAACGACCCACAAATTACTGCCCCTCCACCACATTTATTCATAGGTATTTATTTATAACATTCACTTAAATTTTTATTTATAATATATATTTATATTTATGTATGTAGGGGAGACCGGGTCTAGTTGTGACATTTTTTGCATTTTGCTCTAGAACCTCAAGATTTAGAAGCGAAATAAAACAATTTTTGGTCAGTAAGTCTAAAAATCTATGTTTTTATTGCATGTATAGTCAAAATTAATGAAATACTTATAT